TTCCCAATTAATATTTCTAGTGCATATTTTTTATAGGAATTGAAGGTCTCGTTAAAAACCCCCTTCTTGATTAAAGGAGCTTGAAGAGAAGCTCCTTAATCAGAGGAAGGAAGAAAATAGTGCCTTAAGATTTCATTAAACATAAGAAATTACAAAAGATACAATCCTAGAGCCACCCCCAACTTAGACAAAACACCAAAACCAACCAAATACAACCTTCTGCCACAACACTAACAGCCTAATCATCTCAACTACAACATCAACTTTTTTTTTATAAGAATGCTAGGCCTCGTTAAAAATCCCCTTGATTAATGGATCTTGTATGAAAGCTCCTTAATCAGCGGAACGGGGAAAAGAGTGCCTATATATTATTTATCATAATAAATTACAACGAAAACAACAATAGTAATCCCCTTACAAAACACAGAAAATCAAGAAACAACCCTAAACAACCATCAACAACTTTACTAACTCAGCCTATGCCTTCTTTAGCTAAGGCATCAGCCTCTAAATTGGTTGTCCTATTAACCCATCTAACAACACCTTCAAAGGCATTAAGCCTATGAACAATATCTTTAATCAAGAAGGCATATACAACAACTTTCAAATGACTAACCAGACTAAAAGCTAAACTTGGCCCGAAATACAACATAACACAATACAACTATAATAAAGGCCAAATATACCATCTGACACAATCCATAGAAGCCTAATAAACTTCGAAGCTATGAGCTTCCACACGATAAGAGTTGAACAAAACAGACTTCGAAAAAACTCAATTCGCCCTTCTGCCACTAATTGCTCGACTTCACATCAATACCCTCCGAACCTCCAACTCCATAATCAAAAATCATAATCTAGTCCCCTAAAAACTATTCAGTACTTAATGATTCTGTCAATACTTCCACTGCTATAATGTTCCGAAATAAAAAAACACTTGTTTTGTTTAGCCAGTCCATCCCACTTAATTTTAACAGCAGGCCCAGCCGGAATTAGTTTAGAGACTGGTGAAGATGATTCCCCATCAGATTGGGTTGAATGTAACTGATCCACTTTCTTTCGCAACCCAAGCCCCGCATAATCTCTATAAGACTTAGCCTCAAATTCAAATTCAAAATTATCTGACAGCCCATTAATGATAGGTTTCGTGTGGGACTTATGTTTCAGAGATTGTTCCCCGCCACCTTCTAACCTCCCACTTTCTTGACCCTGTTGTAACCACGTGTCCACCTTTGACCCTACTTCCTCTACTGACTTCTCCCACTTGTCTTCTTCCTTCTCTGAGTTAACTCCTTCATCCTCCTTCGAAAAATCATCACTACTCCCATCATCAAAATACTTCTACAGCTCATCTCCGATTCCAGCTTGGAAATTGTTACACTTCGATCCCGTATTGATTATGACTTTAAAAGATCTTCCATATGATCCTACAGAAGTATATTCGGGTATATCAAAAGGACTTGCTACCCTTAACAGTAATTGCGCTGATGAAAGATCATCTCTATTCTTTGTCTCCTCCATGATACTCACAAGCTCTCCCCACATTCCTGCAAGTTTCTCCAGAAAAGGTGCAGACCAACTAAGAAATAGTAGCCCCACCAACTCTACCATGCAGTACGCCAATGAAACTCCTTCTTCGTTTAACAATGGAGATAACCATTTAAACCAGAGGAACAACTTCTCTCTAATGTTCGACCAAGCCTTTACGAAATCTTCATTAGAACTGAATATAACGATACAAGCATTCTTAACATAACCCCAGCTTACTATTTTGACCTCATAATCCTCCTTCGCCAGGGCCTTTTTCACCATATCAGACTGAAGGGGATATTTCAAAACCCCTGTTAAAGAATTCTTCACCCAGCTTGAATCTTCAAAAGGAATGTGCATTTCCCATACATTCCTTATCCCATTTACTTTCAAATTTTGTCCTCCCTTAATTCCCACTCTATCATTCTCCTCTCTTTCCTCCACATTCACCACCTCCTTATACGTTCTGCCGTCCCTCGGGCTGCTCGGCTTTCTCATTACCACCTGCTGCCTACCTTCCTCCCCTCGCACATGCTTATTTCCTTCCACCTGGAACTTTTTGTCATCAGTTGCTCTTCTCCTTTCCTTCTTATACTTTGCAACCCCCATTGAGACTCTCTTCCCATCTATCAACGTTCCATTGACGTTCTGAATCGCTCTTCTACAACCTTCCTCCATCGCATATTGCACAAAGGCAAACACTGATGACTTATAGTTTGGTTTCACCATAAAACTTGGAATATAGACCCTTAAAACACGACCATAAATATCGAAGATCTCTCTTAACTCTCTTCTAGTAACTCTCTTACTAAGATTGTCTACGAAAACAGTCCAATCCTTATCGGAAGATGAACGACATGTCACAAGCTCTCTATTTCTCTCTCTTCCTTTCTCACTCATGATGATACAATTTCTGCCTATTGTTGTTTCACCTAGTTGGTGTTTCCATGTCCATTGCATCTTGTTGTATCTGGAAGCTGAATCTTTTGGTTGTTTGGAAATAGAGATTATTTGTTCCCTGGTTTTGGTCCATTAATGATAACATAATGAATAAGCATGTCCTTTCTCTATTTAAGGGTTTGTATTGTAAAAAAAATAAAGAAAGAAAGAAAAGGCTTCATCTGTATGCCGTGGTTCAGATAATGTTAAATTTTTTAGACTGCTTATCTTAAGTTACGGCCTTTATTCCTCAATATAGAATGGTGGTGGATTTTAAAACTCACAAGTGGAAATTAGATGGTTTTCATATTGTAAAAAAGAATAAAGAAATAAAGAAAAGGCTTTAACCTACATGCCATGATTCACATAATGTTGTTAAATTTTTTTGAGACTGCTTATTTTAAGGTACGGGCTTTTTATTCTACAATATAGAATGGTGGTGGATTTTAAAACTCACAAGTGGAAATTAGATGAATTTCATATATCTATTTAATGTTTAATTAATTTATTAATTTTCATAAATGTATTCTAATGGGGCACATGTCAACCCTTTCAAGTTACTTGTCGAGTTTAACACACCATTGGCTATGAATATGGTAATTTTCTGAGTTGACTTCTATTGTATATATCGACGGTGGAATTTTCAAACATGAGATGGATTAGATGGGTTTTATACACCCATTTAGTGCTTTATTACTTATAAATATACCTAATGAGACAATTATCAATTATCAACTCGTTTAGGAGTTCGTAATCTAAACTTGATGAATAGAGCGCTTTTAGGGAAATGGACTTGGAGGTTTGCCAATGATAGGGATTCAATTTGGAGGGAAGTTGTTTGTGCCAAATATAGATTGGATTCTTCAGTTTTACTTCCTGACAGTAAGTTTCCACCTAAGGTATCATGGATTTGGAGATCAGTGCTACATAATTATTTTAAAGAAGACTTTTTTGGCAATAAATTTAGAAGTTTGTGTAGTTATCATGTTGGTGATGGTACAACTATTTGGTTTTCGCAAGATATTTGGGCTTTGGATCATCCACTTTATGTCATTTTCCCAATACTATTTTTTATTTCCACAAATAAGTATGGGAAATTATCTGATTTTGGGGAGTATATCTCTTTCGTATGGGTGTGGGATTGAGAAGTTTAGAAGAAATCTGAATGACTGGGAACTTGAACAGTGGTCTAACTTGTTGACAGTTATCACAATTTTCATTATCATCGGAACTTTCTAATCGTTTGATTTGGAAAGGTACTGGGGATGGGATTTTTACTATTAGATCAGTTGTTAATCTATGTTCATCAGAGACCTTGGGATCGGAGGTTTTTTTTCTGGAAGAAGTTTATTTGGAGAGATCTACTGCCCCCAAGAGTAGTGTTTTCTTTGGCAGATTGTTCATGGGAAGCTGGCTGTTAGGACAGAACTTGTCAAAAGAGGAGTTCAAGGAATAAAAGATGTGTTGTGTCCCCTATGCAAGATGTCGGAAGAGTCTCCCTCTCATTTGTTTTTCTCTTGTTCGGTGGTGTGGTTTCTTTGGAATAAATTTTTAAATTTTTGGAGGATTTGCTTTGTTTTACCAGCGGATGCTAAAAGCTTTTTTCTAGCTTAGGATGGTTTGAAGTCTAACTCTACGATATGGCCTTTTATTCTAGGGGTCGTTCTTTGGACCACTTGGAAAATAAGGAATTTTGTTGTGTTTGAAGGGAGAAAGTTTGACAAGGCAGAATACTTCTTTTTAGTAAGGTTTAGGCTTGCTTCTTGGTTCTTAGCAAAGCATAAAGAAATGACTATTCCTAAGGACTCACTCATTTCAGACCCTTCTTTAGGGGACTTTGTTTCTCTCCACTCTAATCAGATTGCAACTATTTTACCTTGGTCTCCTCCTCCTATGGGTTTTGTTAAGTTAAATGTTGATGCTGCCATTACAAGGGATTGGAAGAAAAGCGGGTTAGGAGGAGTTTTAAAAGATTCATCAGGTTCTACTTTAGGCTCTTTCAAGGAACCTGTTGGTCCGGGACCTCCTACTTTGATGGAATTAAAGGCTATTCTTAAGGGGTCGTCTTTCTATGCAAATTTTTGAGAGAGGATCAAGGACCGTTTGATTATTGAGAGTGAATAGTAAGGTGGTTGTGGATTGGATTAAGGGGGTTGAATTATGTCCTGTTGTGTATGCCTTCTTGATTAAAGATATTGTTTAATGCCTTTCAAGGTGTTGTTAGATGGGTTAATAGGACATCCAATTTAGAGGCTGATTCCTTAGCTAAAGAACGCATAGGCTGAGATAGTGGTGGTGTTTAGGGTTGTTTCTTCGTTTCCTGTGTTTTGTAAGGGGATTACTATTGTTGTTTCGTTGTAATTTATTATGATGAATAATATATTTAGGCACTCTTTTCCCCCTTCCACTGATTAAGGAGCTTTCTTACAAGATCCATTAATCAAGAAGGGGGTTTTTAACAAGGCTTAGCATTCTTATAAAAAAAAATCAACTCGTTTAGACTGCTAATGGAGCTTTTAACTCGGTATTAGTTTACGAGATAATTTACTCGGAAAGTGTCGATCCTCAAACACCGATTGTGAAGTTTAAAATCTCAGAGTCAGTTTACCAGATACTTTTCCTAGTATTGTTAACTCTTTTCGGTATCTGTTTCTCTTTGCAGCATATGAAAAATATCGAGGTCCTCTTGGAAATGTCAGGAAAGGAGTATTGGTATGTTTGCCTAATGCTTTCTTATGACTTAATTACCATGTTATTTTGTGTGTGTAATATAATTATTATCCTTTGCTTTTTGTTTATACACATTAACCAAGAGATTCTTTAAAAGATGTTACTTTTACTGACAATACTAGAAAAAGGGCGAGTAGTCATTGAAAATTTAATAGGCATATGAAATTGTTTGGCTTTCACTATACCCTATTAATGCTGTGAGAATATTAGTTTTTAAGATATTTAACAATTGTTATTGATCTTAATATTTATACACCAAAGCGTATATATTTTGGGCTGAATCTTTGCCAAGTTATGCTTATTGTTTACTCGAACAGGTATCAATGGGTTATGGTACAATCACAGCTTATGCATTGATGAGTTTGGAACCTCGTGGAACCCTTTTCGTGACCCCTGGGATGGAGGTTGTTTCCTTGTTAAAATTAATATATTTTTATTTTCTTATGCATGCTCCTATTTCATAAGTTATGGGCATTCCAGTGGGTTATTTGATCGTTATTATCATGTAAAAAATGATTTGGTAGGATTATGCAACTGATGATGTTAATTTTCAGTACCCTCCCCCTCTGTAACCACTCTCAAACCCATGACCATGGACTTATTTTGAGAAGGTGATAAATGTTGGGCTACATGCTATTTTATTCTGAAAGAAATCTAGCGGAGTTAAGAATCTTCAACTCCAAAAGTCCATAGCACACTTAAATTAGCTGTATGAGACAATTATAACCAAACAATAGTTACCTTGGTGGTGATGCCTCTAGGTAAAAATAGGACTTACCTTCGTTTGTGTTTAAGGATGCTGTGACAGGCTTTGTCTCTATTTCATAGCCAGCAATTCATGAAAAACTTCTAGGCTCGGTACTCATGCACCAAGGAAGTTCAGTCATATTTTTAACGAAAGACATCAGCGACAAAAGTATCTATTTTTTGGTTAATTAAATGGTTGATGCACACTTTATCAGCCAAACCATCTGGTATGGTTGCATCCGTATGGAGGAATTAGGCGTATTAGATTCGGTATGAATTTGATTTCATGTTTAGGGTCACTTCAGGTACGAGTCATTTTAGGTTATCAAATTTTAAAATTAATTCAAATGAATTTTAGCTCTTTTTAAAATAATAATTTATACAATTGCATTGTTTATTTATTATTTACATTGAAGTGTAAAATAAGCAAGTGTTGTATTTTTGGCTTAAGCTTAAGTTCTGGATTTGGGTTGTTAACTTTTAGATCGAAAACAGGTTGCATCGAGTTCTTGTTGTGCAAGTTGGCCGGTTTCTTTCAGGTTAAAGGCATCTCTACTTTAAAAATATAATTTTTTGTTTATTTTGTTGGCTCACAGGCATATGATGGCAATATAGTTGGTGAGCATTCACGTGATACAGATCTTGAAGTAAGAAAAGATCTAGTTCCCCTTCAGCAGGCCTTGTTCTCTTCATGGATGGCTGACACTTTTGCAATGGCTCACTTATTGCAGGTGAATCCAGTAAGGAGTAAAGAACTGTCAAATATACGTGCGGCTGGCAAGGATGGGAATGTGAAACTCTCTCCTCCAAGACTTGTACGTCTTCGTATTTCCCCCTTTTAAGTTTGTTATAACATGACCCTGTATTATATTTGCGAGGTAGATGTTATTTTATTTCCATGTGAAATATGGGTTGTTCTTTCTTACTTTAGTTGAAATTAATGAGGGTAGAGGGTAAAGAACACAAATGATCTCCCGACTATAGGATATTGCTTTTGTAACACCCCTAACCCGTACCCGACCCGGATACAAGTCCGAGGTGTCACATTGACTTTTCAAACTTTGATTCTTGACAAAATTCAAAGAAAATTTAAAACTTTCATTAAAGTAAAAGCAGTTTAGTTACATAATTTGACCACAATAATCAAAATCGATCAGAGCATATTTAACTCAATCAATTAGTACATGCCAACTATATTCAAAATAACAAAAATCATTTAACTCATCTATTTTTTGATCTGAAATCTTGTAAGGGAGATGCTGACCTGTATTGCCCCTCACAGCTTTTATATTCACTTTCTGTAACCTGCGTGTGAAACACTCACACGCTAAGTCGATGACTTAATGAGACATAAAGAAAAACACATCTAATGGAATTCATACCCACTAATCATGCATTACTGTTTTATGCTATCAAATTATACAACTCATTTACATATACATCAACATATATTCATGTATATTATGTAACAGATTTCATAACCTCTATCACACATATATCATATCATACAATTCATATCACACATCATATACATATATCACATACATTGTTCTCATATCACCAACCTGTTTATCCTTACTAATTTCCTTGTCATTACTTCAATTCCGTCATATGAGCATATAATGAATATAAACATATTATATATATTTTAATATGCCACAATACATTATGGATTTCTATAATCATATAATACATAAACGCATAGCATCTCATATCACCATGACATATATATACTTCTACCATGTCATGAGAAATATACATATCATTATATCAAATTATGTTCTCTTTTCAAAGCCCATGTACACATATGAGAACTATAGATATGTGAGTCTATAGAGGTTGTGCACTATGCTGTCACCACAGCTCGTATAATTGCACCGAAGTGCCACGTAGAATTGCACCGGAGTGCCACGTAGAATTACACCGGAGTGCCGCGTAGAATTGCACCGTAGTGCCATATAATAATGTCCATAAGGACCACATATCATTCCTTAAGAATCATATACATATATTAGGGATCAAGTATGTATCTTATCAGACTTCACACATATTCCAAAGAATACATATATGTCTCGAAGGACCACATATCATTCCTTGAGAATCATATACATATGCCAAAGATCAAGTATCTGTCTCACCAGACTTCACACATGTTCCAAAGAATACATATATGTCCCGAAGGACCGCGTAGACCCTCTACTCTTGGCATGCCAACTATACCCCTAGCTCTCATGACACATAACATGGGCATTAATATTTATGTTAACATACATTCACATATACACATAGTCATGTAATTCTTTCACATACCTCATCGTCATATAAATCACATATCTCATATACATATGAACCCATGGTTCACTTACGCGTAGAACATTTCCATATAATCGCATAGTCATATAATATTTCATATAACATATATTTTCTCTTTCATATATCTCATATCATGTATCATATCTTGTGATCATATAATCATGTTACTTATAATCACATAACTTCTACTCATAGAGTTCAACATCATTAAACTTAGTTCCCTTTTTCATATCATCATACATTTATATATTCTTATATGTCCTATCAATAACCTATAAACTTACTCATATTCTCATATGTCATATTTTAATATAATTTGTATAGTAATACTCTATGATTGTATCATATAATGATTTTACACAAGTACTCTTTTATAAAGTTTATATTACAGGTTCAATTAGTCTCATTCTATCTTATAAATAATTTCCACTTATTTAATATCCTTTTCCTTTTCCACTCACATAAACCATCTATTTATTTAATTAAATTTCTCATGACTTCCACAATACTTTTTAATAAAACTTTGTAGCTCTTCACTATAATACATAAACCATAGTTTCCTTTAATTTATCAATCTTCCCTATATAACTTATATATCTTTATTTATGCCCTCGAATTTATACTATTCTCTTAGAGTCTCTTAACATTTCTCGTATAATCACTTATATCATATCATATGACTTATACTTGATTATCTTATTCTCTCGTGTTCATTTCCTTTTTTATGACTCTATCATATAACTTATTCTATGTTTTTCCGTTATTACATAATAAAGTTTTACATAAATCATATAGCATATACAAAGCATATCATTATCTTTAGTCATGCATACATACAATCAATGTAATACAGATAATCACATATAATTATAACAACACATAATCATGTCCATGACTTCATGCATATTACTCTAGGAAATAGACTCATCGCAAGTCTTATTTCCATTAAACACTACATATCACTAGTATGCACTCACCTTGGCCTCACTAGTCAATTCCAATCTCTTATCTTTCCCTTGATCGATCTTACTTGCCAAATGTTCCGGAATTGCTTTACGTCAGAATCTACATAAATGTACATTTTGAGGCAATCATTAGATACATACACCTTGTAATTGGATACTAGCAACTTAAACGAACTTATTAAACCAATATTCACATTTTTCCTTTAGGGGGAATCGATTCCCTCCTGTGGGGGAATTGGTTCCCCTATGAGATTTTGGAATTTCTAGTTCGCTTGAGGGGTATCGATTCCCCATTGAATGGGTACCGATTCCCTTGAATGGGTACCGGTTCCCCTTACCCATAAATCATATTTTCAGCACGAAATTTTCTTCATTTTATCTTAAACACTTCATATTTCAACCTCTCCTATATACTAAACTCAAACACACATACTTAAGCCCATTTGTACTCATTTAATCCATCTTAATTCTCAAAATCCTCTCCTCTTAATGAAATTCAAGAATTATACTCAATTTTCAACATGTTCTAAATTCCTTTCTATCACTCCAAATCTCTTAATTCAACTATTGACAAGTCAAATTCAACTTATCAATTTTATTTCAAGATTTTATTCAAAAACTCAAAATCTTTAATCTCTCCTATACCTTTCATCTTGTTGTTTTATAACCAATTAAGCTTTCCTTAAGCTTAATTACTATCCAATGAATAACACCCAACCTTTAGTTGAACAAATAATCAACTAATGAAGAACTTACCTTTGCCCTTGAGCTCTTACGGGAGGAGAAAGAAGAAAGGAAGAAGAGATGAAATGTTTTCATCTTCCACGTTTCAATCTCCTATTAAAGGGGATAAAAAATATCTTTATTGTCAAATGACCATTTTGCCGTTTATTACTTTGGATAATTACTAAAAACTTCCAGGGATTATCTCCACATAAATCATTGAACTTTCCAACTTTTTCACTTTAATCATCAAATTCTGAAATTTTACAATTTAGTCACTAACCTATAATTTGGGATGTTACAAATCTCTCCTCCTTTAAAGAAAATTCGTCCTCGAATTTTCACTGCACACCTTGATAAGAACATGCCTGTTAATGTTCTCATGTTGTTTCCTTTACTTAATCTTTCTTTCCCTTAGTTCTTCAACTACCTTTTTTTTATACATCCTTATCATGTCACTTATCATATAACCAATAGCATCAGTTCTTATCACTCAAAATCATTAATCAATCAAATTCTTTATCAATCTTTAATTACCTTGCAGTAATAACCAACCTTTATTCCATCATCGCTTAATTACTTCTTAAAGTTCCTTAATACATATAAATTATTCTTTATTCCTCTGACTAAATCTGCTTGACCAAGAAACATAACCTTTATTTATTCAAAATCAAAATCTCCTTATACATAAATCATATATTTTCTTTCATGCTCACATACTCTTTTCCTCTCACTTGTGCTCATCTCGGATTACTAATCTTTATCATCTCTTCATCACTTTGATAATCAACGCTCCTTGCAAATACCTTATTCTTCGTAAAGTCCTTATTCAAATCATAATACACATATACTTGACTTTCTTCAAACATATTAATCCTTTACTCTTTCAAGTCGAAACTAACTCAACATTAATTTATTTGACTCATTCAACTCACATTCTTACTCATTCACAATGCAATTTTCCTGGGTTCAAACTCAGGCATTACAATTTCCTTTATCTTATAAATCAATCATCAATGCACCTATTCTTAAACCCTTGCAAAATAGTACCTATATCACTTGATCCTTTTAAAATAATTTTGCTTTACCTATTTTCTAGCAGAACTTTTAATCAAATCCATTACTTTCCCTTCTAACTTAACTTCATATTCATTCTTAATTCCTTATTTAATCTTCCAGTACCAGACTCTACTATTCAAGCGTATCTGTCTTTCATCAAGTTTTGATCATTTGCTATGGAATACAACTAATTCAAATCAAGTCTGTAATTGACAATCATAATCTATGTCTCTCTTCGATAATGTCGATTTTTATGAGATATGAATTCTCTTAATTCTTCTGAGATCTCTCTAGATCTTTAATACAATTCATCATCATTTCTTGAAAAGAACAATTTTTAACATCAATAATATTATTTTCGTCTAGGTACATACCCTCCATACCTCACTTACATACATCATTTTTCCTTCAAATAACTTAACAACAATTTCTTCGACTTATCAAACTATATTCATATCCCTACACGTTACGATTCCTCTGTTTTCAAAATCAAGCATTCTAACTTTCTCTGTCTTATAAACTGATTGTTGATATATTGATTCTTAAACTTTTCTATTACTTTATAACTTTCCTTAACCATATGAATCCTTATCTCCTTCACTACATCATATTTACATGGTCGAGATACACAACTATATCCATATTCGTTTCATATTTTGGTTAACTTATCCTAATAATATCTTTAAATCCTTTAATCTCAATACACTTTTCGTCACATAAACTGGTTAGCCAACGCTAACTCTTTTCATCTAGAATGCAAACCCTTATAATATCCACATTTTGCTTATACACAGTACTATCTCTTTGTTTCAAATTCATCACACTGATTGCATTTATCTTATAAACTTGTCACCGATTCACTTATTCTTGAACTCTTCTACAATTCTAGCCACATCCTCAGATCTTTTAACTTTCTTATGGTGACACTTGTTCACCATATTCAATCGTATCCATGAAATAATAAGAATACTTCATATCACTTTTTCGATTCAGACCTGTGAAAACTTTCTATCACTATTCTAATATGATTTCAACTTAATGAAATCAGTCTTTGATCTTATGAGGCATTTCCTGAGGTGTCCGCTCTTCATCCTGTCTGGCCAGGGCATGTGAATAGCTATCACAGTCAGGAATATCACCTTCACTTACTTCGAAATTATCACGATCGAATTTATACTATATTAAACTATTCTTATTCTATTAGCAAGACAGCATACTTCTTACACTATCAGATCAGAAATTTTTCACCTTAGTTAACATGTACACGTTTTATGACACTTTGGACTTCGGTTTATGCCGAGAATCGACTAAACCTTAGCTCTGATACCATTAAATGTAACACCCTAACCCGTACCCGACCCGTATACGAGTCTGAGGTGTCACATTGACTTTTCAAACTTTGACTCTTGACAAAATTCAAAGAAAATTTAAAGCTTTCATTAAAGTAAAAGCAGTTTAGTTACATAATTTGACCATAATAATCAAAATCGATCAGAGCATATTTAACTCAATCAATTAGTACATGCCAACTATATTCAAAATAACAAAAATCATTTAACTCATCTATTTTCTGATCTGAAATCTTGTAAGAGAGATGTTGACCTATATTGCTCCTCACAGCTTCTATATTCACTTTCTATAACCTGCGTGTGAAACACTCACACGCTAAGTCGATGACTTAGTGAGGCATAAAGAAAAACACATCTAATGGAATTCATACCCACTAATCATATATGATTGTTTTATGCTATCAAATTATACAACTCATTTACAGATACATCAACATATATTCATGTATATTATGTAACAGATACCATAACCCCTATCACACATATATCATATCATGCAATTCATATCACACATCATATACATATATCACATACATTGTTCTCATATCACCAACCTGTTTATCCTTACTAATTCCCTTGTCATTACTTCAATTCCGTCATATGAGCATATAATGAATATAAACATATTAAATATATTTTAATATGCCATAATACATTACGGATTTCTATAATCATATAATACATAAACGCATAGCATCTCATATCACCATGACATATATGCACTTCTACCATGTCATGAGAAATACACATATCATTATATCAAATTATGTTCTCTTTTCAAAGCCCATGTACACATATGAGAACTATAGATATGTGAGTCTATAGAGGTTGTGCACTATGCTGTCACCACAGCTTGTAAAATTGCACCGAAGTGGCACATAGAATTGCACCGGAGTGCCACGTAGAATTGCACCGGAGTGCCGCGTAGAATTGCACCGGAGTGCCGCGTAGAATTGCACCGTAGTGCCATATAATAATGTCCATAAGGACCACATATCATTCCTTAAGAATCATATACATATACTAGGGATCAAGTATGTGTCTCACCAGACTTCACACATGTTCCAAAGAATATATATATGTTCCGAAGGACTACATATCATTCCTTAAGAATCATATACATATGCCAAGGATCAAGTATGTGTCTCACCAGACTTCACACATGTTCCAAAGAATACATATATGTCCCGAAAGACCGCGTAGACCCTCTACTCTTGGCATGCCAACTATACCCCTAGCTCTCATGACACATAACATGGGCATTAATATTTATGTTAACATACATTCACATATACACATAGTTATGTAGTTCTTTCACATAGCTCATCGTCATATAAATCACATATCTCATATACATATGAACCCATGGTTCACTTACGCGTAGAACATTTCCATATAATCGCATAGTCATATAATATTTCATATAACATATATTTTCTCATTCATATATCTCATATCATGTATCATATCTTGTGATCATATAATCATGTTACTTATAATCACATAACTTCTACTCATAGAGTTCAACATCATTAAACTAAGTTCCCTTTTTCATATCATCATACATTTATATATTCTTATATGTCCTATCAATAACCTATAAACTTACTCATATTCTCATATGTCATATTTTAATATAATTTGTATAGTAATACTCTATGATTGTATCATATAATGATTTTACACAAGTACTCTTTTTTTAAAGTTTATATTACAGGTTCAATTAGTCTCATTCTATCTTATAAATAATTTCCACTTATTTAATATCATTTTCCTTTTCCACTCACATAAACCATCTATTTATTTAGTTAAATTTCTCATGACTTCCACAATACTCTTTAATAAAACTTTGTAGCTCTTCACTATAATACATAAACCATAGTTTCCTTTAATTTATCAATCTTCCCTATATAACTTATATATCTTTATTTATTCCCTAAAATTTATACTATTCTCTTAGAGTCTCCTAACATTTCTCGTATAATCACTTATACCATATCATATGACTTATACTTGATTATCTTATTCTCTCGTGTTCAGTTCCTTTCTTATGACTCTATCATATAACTTATTCCATGTTTTTCCATTATTACATAATAAAGTTTTACATAAATCATATAGCATATACAAAGCATATCATTATCTTTAGTCATGCATACATACAATCAATGTAATACAGATAATCACATATAATTATAACAACACATAATCATGTCCATGACTTCATGCATATTACTCTAGGAAATAGACTCATCGCAAGTCTTGTTTCCATTAAACAGTACATATCACTAGTATGCACTCACCTTGGCCTCACTAGTCAATTTCAATCTCTTATCTTTCCCTTGATCGATCTTACTTGCCAAATGTTCCGGAATTGCTTTACGCGCAGAATCTACATAAATGTACATTTTGAGGCAATCATTAGATACCTACACCTTGTAATTGAATACTAGCAACTTAAACGAACTTATTAAACCAATATTCACATTTTTCCTTTAGGTGGAATCGATTCCCTCCTGTGGGGGAATCGGTTCCCCTATGAGATTCTGGAATTTCTGGTTCGCTTGAGGGGTATCGATTCCCCATTGAATAGGTACCGATTCCCTTGAATGGGTACCGATTCCCCTTACCCAAAAATCATATTTTCAGCACGAAATTTACTTCATTTCATCCTAAACACTTCATATTTCAACCTCTCATATATACTAAACTCAAACACACATACTTAAGCCCATTTGTACTCATTTAATCCATCTTAATTCTCAAAATACTCTCCTCTTAATGAAATTCAAGAATTATACTCAATTTTCAACATGTTCTAAATTCCTTTCTATCACTCCAAATCTCTTAATTCAACTATTGACAAGTCAAATTCAACTTAAAATTCAACTTATCAACTTTATTTCAAGATTTCATTCAAAAACTCAAAATCTTTAATCTCTCTTATACCTTTCATCTTGTTGTTTTATAACCAATTAAGCTTTCCTTAAGCTTAATTACTATCCAATGAACAACACCCTACCTTTAGTTGAACAAATAATCAACTAATGAAGAACTTACATTTGCCCTTGAGCTCTTACGGGAGGAGAAAGAAGAAAGGAAGAAGAGATGAAATGTTTTCATCTTCCACGTTTCAATCTCCTATTAAAGGGGATAAAAAATATCTTTATTGTCAAATGACCATTTTGCCCTTTACTACTTTGGATAATTACTAAAAACTTCCAAGGATTATCTCCACATAAATCATTAAACTTTCCAACTTTACAACTTTAATCACCAAATTATAAAATTTTACAATTTAGTCACTAACCTATAATTTAGGATGTTACAGTTTTATTGAGTGCCCTAAATATTAAAAGTTACAAAATGGTCTCTTGACTATGATAAGTTACTTTGTTGAGTCATTCGACTATTAAAAGTTACAAAATAATCACCTGACTGTTTAGTATGATTCAAACTCGTCTTTTCCGTTAAAAAATTAACGACAGTCTGAGATGGACGTTAATCTGCTGATTGAGATATGATAAAATTTGATCTTATAATCTCAAACGATTATCATATCTCAGTCAAATTGCTAACGTCTAGCTCAGACGACCGTTAATCTTTTAATAAAAAATAATGAGTTTGGAACATAATGAATAATAGGGTGACCGTTTTATAACTTTTAATAGTCGAGACTAAACAAAGCAACTTCTTATAATTCGAGACCATTTTGTAACTTTTAATAGTTGGTGACTCAACAAAGCAGTATCTTATAGTCTGGGAACCATTTGTGTAGTTTACCCTAAAATAAAATATGATTTGAGCTTTGCATTTTTTCTTGATTGTACCTTGTGTCCAGATGACTCTTGAAGAAGCTATTGGTTATGTTGCTTCTGATGAGCTTATAGAGGTGTGTTAATTTTAGAGTCGTTTTTCCTGGAGTAAGAGGATGAAAGACTAAGTGAGACTTTTCCCAAAATATAATTTTGTTGAATATATAGAAAAAACAATTTATTCTTGTTTTCACAAAATAACAAGGGACGGGAACTTCAGGTTTTGCCAATTATTTAATACATCTGTACTGAAGCATGGAAAATTGTACGAGTTAGTTATCAAATAAATTTTATTTGGTCATTTTCAGTAACATGGTTTGGTTTGAACACAAATATTTTGTTTTTGAAAGTCGTTCTTTTAATTAGAAGTTTTAAGTTTATATTTGTACCATTTGTTAGAAAAAAATATTAATCCGAGATAAAAAATAATATTAATAAAATTATTATATAATTGAACGAAACAAAATAATTATAAAGAGTTAAAATAGAAGAATGAAACTTGTTACTCATGTGTAGACACGGAATCAGATGAATAGAGTAAGATAAACCGAAGAAGGATTTTTGTTGAGGCATGTATGAACAATTTCCTTAAGGCAGATGCATCCTTAGGTGCTATGAGTAATGTTGGACGTCGGTCTCCCATGATACAACAATAAACGATCATAACAGTAAGCACAATTGTAGTAATCAGTCGAACACAATCTTGCATTTCTCTATCATCAGAAAGAACGAATTTGGAAGGAATTTTCTAAGTGTTTTTCCTATTCCAAAGTTCTAAACTTGTCTCATTGTGCCTAAACTAGTCTATATATAGGGAGAGGAAATTGACTAAAATGTTAAGACATTTTGATGAAAGGATTTAACATTTTGATTAAAAGATTTCTCCTTTTGATAAAAGGGTTTAACCTTTTCATAAAATGATTTAACATGAAGAGAATTGTTGAATAGGTATGATTGAATGGATGCAACTTTAAACCAAAAATTAAGTTCATTCATAATTAATTAGTTATATATAGCATCAATTCATTCAATTTTTCCAACAATCCCCCACATGAATGAACTTGATGATTCAAACACTAACTCGATATGTTGATAGATTATACATTCGATATTTGAATAGGATAATAGATGTCCCCCTTTTAACATTCCTTGTGAAAATATGTTTACCTTACTGGCTGTCTAGTAGTCGTGATGTCCTTGAAATGTCCTTCCGTTAGTGTAAGCGATGACATACCTCACACAAATATCTCACTGACAAGAATTTGGTTCTCATGGTTATGTCCATATAGCCATGGACATATCCTGGTTCTGCAAGAGTTTAGAGAACCATGCCCCAATAGTCTCTTTGAAGCGGCTCCACTTCACTCTCACATAGGTGACTTATGTTGTTCGGCTCACCGAAACACATAGTGGTCATTAAAAGCATTGCATTTTCTACATTTTATTCACTGTTTTCATCATAGGAATGGACTTGGGGATAACAACCCCCACAGTGACCTCACAAGGTCTATGCAATTAGGTTGTCCCATTGAACCTAGATCTTGGGATCTCCAGTCAACTAGGTTGGGTTTTCCTTCACATAGTGCCTTAAATATTAATGGGCTTTAGTCACATTCATTTCGATGCTTATCAACTTGATCTCAATTCAACTCATTGTTTAGTGGATCCACAATGTTATCTTTTGATCTTACAAAATCAATATAGATAACTCTAGTTGAGATCAATTGTTTAATTATGTTATGTCGACGACGTATGTGTCTCGACTTACCATTATACTTATACAAGACACCCCCACACTTTGATGTAGTTATAGGAAAGTTTTTTACATTTTCATAACTCATATGGTGTTTCACCTATTTTCTTGTAAGTTATCTTATTTAAAGGTAATTTACTGACAACTCATAACATGACCAAATGTCATTCATAATTCTTTAGCAATCTTATGGATATTATACATTTCATATGGTGTATTTGACAATCTATTCGAGATGTAATTCCGATATAGAAACTTAGAATGCTTTCAAGCTTTAATGACAACAATGTTTATCTCATCCTCTCTATGAATAGGAGGATCATCCTATATTTGACCATATTCAACATGATTAAATATAACATCTTATGTCTCTATGTCTTGAAATTCTCTCCATGAATTTCACATGCTTCTCGTTATGGCTCACAACCACTAACATCGTTGAATTTTATTCGAAGTTTGAATAGGAATCAATATTTCAAATCACAAGTTAGGTGAATCAGTGGGGTTATCATTGTTTCGTTTAAAAACACGTGACCAGAATTTGTAAATATTCCAACAATAAATTGAAAGTTAATTCAATTTGTTTTACCATTTGTTTATGTTGAACAACCAAAATTAATTAGAAATTAAAATTCTAAAACAAAATTTGTAACAATGTTGTTACCTCCAAACGATTTCTGTTATCAACAGTAAATCAAATAAATTTTGTTGAACAACATGATTAAAATCTTGAAACAAAATTATAGGGCCGCTTTTAGTTCACGGGCATATCATAATTTCGTTCGATACCTTATTTATTGCAACGAATGTTAGTCAAAACTAAAATCCAACAATTGAGTAATTTCTGTTAAACGACAGGAATTTAGTAAAATTAAAACACGAAACAGAAATGTACAATCAACACTATTTTGTTGAATCTGTTAAATGTCAAGATTTAAAACTAAAATCCAAAAAAAAACCAACTTATGTTGAACAACATGATTAAAACCCAAAACAGAACCAATTTCTGTTGAACGATGAGAATTTAATAAATTAAATCTCGAAACAAAACTAACTTCTGTTGAACGGTGAAAATTTAATAAAACTGAAAACAGTAGTATAATCTCAATGTATAAATATTATACAAGAAATATTGAATGGTTACACATTCCTTTTTTATTTCTTGATCAATATTATAAATTCGTTGTCAACCAATCTCGGACCATCAACATGTGGGTTCAAGGCGTTCCTTCATAAAGGATAAAGGTATGCTCCGATGCGGTTCAAGTTGCGCAACATAGGGTGTAACCACAAAATACAAAACTTGGTGGACAACAAATCATTGTGTTCCATGCCACCAATTTTCGAACAATCATTTGATAGAACAATTTCTATCTTTGATAGAAATTTACCAAGTCGTCGTTAGTTAAAAGAAAATTTCATTCGGTGAGAATATTATATGGCACTTACATCACAGTGTTAAAAGTTAACGCTCTTGGAAAACAATTATGATTTTCATGCAAGTAGGGTTGCGTACTTTGCTCCACTTGAGAATTTCAATGATATGTCGATAGCAAATTTCCACAAAAGAGTAATGAGCAACACATATAGATTACACTTCATCTCGGATTAGAATTGTAAAATTAAATATAGAATATGTCTTAAGATTGTTAGAAAAAATGTTAATCCGAGATAAAATAATAATAAAAATAAATATTATTATATATAATCGAACGAAGCAAAATAAATAAAACTTAATGTAAAGGAACGTGATTTGTTTACTCGTATTTAGACACTGAATCGGATGAGCAGAGTAAGATAAACCGTAGAAGAATTTTTGTTGAGTCATGTATAAACAATTTCCTTAAGACTGATTTGTCCTCTCATAGGTGCTTTCAGTAACGTTGGACGTCGGTCTCCCAGGATACAACAACAAACGTTCACAACAGTAAGCAAAGCTGTTGAAAACATTTTGATGTTTCGATATAACAAATTAAGTGTTATTGAATTTTAAGATTTTATAACTATTTTTAAAATATATTCGAATATCACAAATATTACTCCAAGTTTTTATAAGGTCAATTTCAATCCTTACTAAAGTGTAAAATTGTGTTTTAAACTTAAATTATTTTTGAAACAATTTTTACAAAGTATTTTGAACCTTAATCGAGCAAAAAAATCAATTTTATGAAGGGATGTATCGATGCACTCCATGATGCATCAATGCACACCCATTTCGAATGCATTTTGTGTACCGATGCACAAGCCATGCATCGATGCACTCTTGAATATTTTGAAACATCGAATGCATTTTGTGTACCGATGCACAGATCATACATCGATGCACTCCTGGCTCTTTTGAAACATCGAATGTAATTTGTGTACCAATGCACCCATAGTGTACCGATGTACTACGTCTTATAACGGTCGAAATATTTGAATTTTACACATAGTGTATCGATGCACCTTGAGTATGCATCGATGTACACACGCTCCCAACTGTTTTATTTAATTGTTTTCACACAATAATAGCTCTATTAACTTCACCAATGATCCCTAACGTTCAGAAGTGATTCAAGGTGTATTTAAACAAGCTTAAAAGCCATTGATCAACAACAATTAAGAAGATAAGCTAGAGAGAAACAAAGAGAAAGCTTTAAACATCATGTTTGACCAATTCAATCCAATTTTCATTCAAATATTCATTTTTGCTTTTAAGAACACTATTTGTACTCAATTGTATTCATTCTTGAGTATCTTATCTTTGTTCTAGAATTATGCAAACATATTGTCTTGTGAGATTTTTCTGTAAGTTTGCGAAATTTGTATTGTTCTCTTTGGGAGAGAGTGTTCTCAAGAATTTGGGTATAATTCTTGAGGGGTTGCAAAGTTACTCTTTGTCCTCAAAAGAAAGATAAATTAGTAAATTTGTGGAAAATCCTTAGTGTGAATAGCTAAGGTAGTGGACGTAGACTTGGTTGAGAAAGTCGAACCACTCTAAATCGCTGTGAAATTATTTTTTATTTTCTGCAAAAGCTTTCACCAAAATTTTTATTGTCAATTCACCCCCTCTTGGCTATTCCGTCTATCGATTAACTCAACAATTGGTATCAGAGCCTCACTCATTTGAAGGTTTAATCGCCTCTTGAGTTGATTCGAGAAGAGTTATATCGATATTCAAGTCATTAATGGCCTCCACTTCAAACTCCGACCTTGTCTTGATTCAATGCATGTCAACAAGCCTCATTTCTTCAATGTAGCGAATTATGCTTATTGAAATAATAGAATGAGGTACTTCATTCAAGCAAGTGACATGGGAGCATGGAATATCATAAAAGACGGATACTTCATTCC